GTCACGTGAAGTAAGAAAGAAGTAGAAAGTAAATGGTAGATAAAGGGAAATGAAAGGTATTTAAATGAAGGATAACACCTAAGAGTGAAGAGAATGACAGCATAAGAACTAAAAGTTTGAAGCTAAATATGATCAGGAGAAGGGAAAGGTTTCGTGTTGCCACCCAAGAACGTCTCACTGACGCTCGAAACCCTTAACCGTAGGTTCCCTGACTAAACTTTCTGGAAGCGAGTTCCAGCGCTCGATAACTTTACGCGGTAACCGGGTTTCCGCCCTGATCCGGTCAGAACGTCATGGAATGACCGCGAAGACAAGGCAACGTAGCCGAGCTAAATGGTCAGCTCAAGCATGGTCCAACCTTCCTTGTTAAAATGCGGTAAGTAAGGATAAGGTTTCCTCGAAGGTACATGGATGCCCATGTACCGTCTATTTTGCACCTAGTGTTTGTCAAGTCACTGGACATCGTAAGTAACATCACGTACAGCTCTCCCTTAGGTGCTAGTGATCATGTTTGTTTATCGTTTAGGTTTAGTCTGACCAGGCGTCACCAGGGCATCTCTAAGCCATTTCCAAACCTACGGCATGCTAACTATCAGGCAATCGGTGGTTGATACGGTTCAGGCGGCCTGGGCTAAATTTAAGCCTTATCTCATGGAAGTGTCTACTCACTACATCCCGCTTGCGAGGAGAAAGGATACAGGATCGCGCCCGCCGTGAGTAGATACCACTAGCAAGTACCTGCTCCAGAAGCGTTCCAGGTGCTGGAGGACCAACCGTGCGGCTCCAACAACTAGCACCTATGACAGATACCGCGAGGCTAGAAATAGGTGTAAACAACACTTAAGGAAAGCTCGGCTGTTGTACGAAAAGGAATTGGCTGATGGAGCTTCGGAAAACCAGAAGTTCTTAGCTTATATTAGGAAAGGTTTGGTAAGTTCGGCAGCATTTAGAGCACTTCCTGAGCAGATGTTTACCGGTACGATCTCTCCAAGGAGGCTGCCCCGAGTCCTCCGTATCTTAATGTGATCAGTGTAGTAGGCTTCAGGTAGGTTAAAGTCACCAGGTATTAAATAGACACCTGTCGGCAGCCTCAGTAAGAATATACTCAATACCCTCCCGGGAATACTTCAAGGATTTTGATATGCCGCTACAACTGTACAGGGTGTAGAGGAAGTGCACACAGTAGTCCGCAGGACCTCACTAGTTTTGCAAAGCTGACCTTTGCGCACATGTTTAGTGTAATGAAAACAATGCAAGTTCACAGTCACCTGAAGAATGTGATGAAGGAATGAACATGTTGGCAAGTTAGATGGTTATGGGGCACGGGGCACCATAAGCCTAGTAGGTGACATTTGGGATGACGCGGAGATGAGCCAGAGGCCAGAATAGAAACAGAACTTTGGAAGCTTGAGGGCAAAACGGCTTCACAAGGTACACAGGTCTCTCAGAACTATCACTAATAATGTAAATCCCGGAGCCTCCATACAAATCAGCACAGAGCTGGTGCACTGGCGACATAATAGGCTACATAGGTCTCTTAGCACTAGCAGCAATGATGTACGTCTCGGAGCCTCTATACATATCAGCACAGAACTGGTGCACTGGTTGCATAGTATCCTACATAGGTATCGTAGCACTATCACCAAGGATGTAGGTCTCGGAGCCTCTATACATATCAGCATAGACCTGTTGCACTGCACTGTCGCATTGAAAGAGCACCCAAAATGTCCGTCAGGAGGCATCTATAGGTACATGTTTAACGGCATTGGGACCATGCGGATGTGATTCCATGCGTATAATACGGAACTGTGAAGAAACGTATGTGCAAAGAAAACAGTTCCGGGAACGTTGTCGTTCACACCCATTCAAAGTGCTCAAGCAAATGTGCTGACACGTCATATGCGTCACTTCAACACAGCGGATCACTAATGATTGGGGTAAAAATAATGTACCGAGGAAAGCAGTGTGAACAAGGAATGTGTGGGCTTTGAGGCCCAGTTAAACAGCAATTAGGCCATTCCTGCAAGGATTACAGAGCCATTTTCCGATTCATTTGCCGAATGTTCCAATCAATGCCGTCAACTGAACACTTATGTCGGGTTGGCAAGCGGGAAGCACACGGAAACGAAACAGGAGGTGGCCCTAAGAAGGGCCAAGTTTGCGTTCTCACAGACTGGCATTTAAATAGTTAGGCAAAGCCGTAAGCATCGGGTGCAATGGTTTAATGACGATGGCACAGGACTTACTGTCTGGCAAGCAAATCATGAAAGTCCTCCTTACTACGTTAGTCTTTCCATCAAACGGTTCATTTGCAGTGGAATTCAGATCTACACTGAGGATGCAGGTAACAATATATTATGACATACTCAAGTGCAGGTTTGCAGATAGGCTGCAGCTCCGGCGAGGTGTTCGTGTCATTTGGGAAGCGCATAGGCATTGCGGGTGCGTTGTCCGTACTCTGTGACACATATACATAGCTGCAACGGGGTACCGCGTCACAAACATCCGAAGTGCCTGAGCGGAGGTAAAAAGCTATGTAAAAGCGCTTGCCTTCGTACGCCGGGGAAGTGGATGGGGTTGATGATACCGTTATATTCGGAGATGGTGTACGACGCGAAGTTGAAACTAAATTACTTGATTCAAACTCACGTATGTTACTGCTATGTGACGGCTTCTTGGTAAGTGTAACTGCTGCTATGTCACTGCAGCAAACTTCGCAACCGTCAGTTTTGTTCTCCACCAAATATTTACGGTGGTATAATAGCCGGTTGTGCACGCAATGAACGCTCGTACCTGCAACAGGTACACCGCAAGCGAAGCAAAATGTAGTCAACGTACCGGCTTTGTGCCACCGCAGTTGCTTACACGATGGTTGGCAGTGTGGTTTATCACTTACGACGGATCCACCTTGTGCTACGTCTATAAGCTCATCTGTTTGTTTAATGAGGCTATCCATGAACCCCGATACCGCACTGGGGTTCACGTCCTCCAGGCATTTAAGTCGAGCAAGCCGTTTTAATATGTTGAAATTGGGCTGCCTTGAGGTGGCTACCTTTAGAGTCCGAAGCAACATGGAATCCTCCGGCAGGTTGTAATTCGCTAACCACGGACTACAGATGGGTATGTTTTCTAAAAAGGGAATGAAAATATTCGCTGATTTGCCCGTCGGATGTTGATTTTTCTTATAAAATATCAGCAACTGGACGCACGATAGCCACATGTGTCCGTAAAATGCGCAAATGCACGCGCCATTTACGCAGTCAATGTCATATCGATGGTGTTGAGCTTGAACAACAAACTGTGGAAGTAGAAACACACTATTTGGCATACCAGTTCCGCTCCAATTTCTGAGTACACGGCACCGAACTTAGGTGTTGCCAGATGACGCATAACCAGGGTGCCAGCATACGTTGTTAGACAGCCTAAAAGCAGCTGCACGTAGGCGTTACCTTCATCTTCAAACACCTGGTGTCTGTCACAGAAGTATGTATGCTGCATCCGAAATTCTTTCAGTAGTACCTCAGACAGCTTCCGCACTTTACTCACAGCCACAGCAAGGCGGTCGAAAGCATGGGTTATTTTCTTCAATCTAACATTGGCATTCTCGACAAGGTTGTTCATGGTGTTTCTAAAATGCACCAATCCCGCTTGAGCGGTTTGTAAAATGCGTTGCATCCACGCACACAACGTGTGAAAATAGCCGAAACAGTTGAACTTGCGGATTACGAGCAAAGTACACATGTGTAAGTAAGCCTTTTCGGAAATGGTTTGCACGAAACCATCCTGTTCCATGCTCTGGACGGACGGCTGCAAATTGACTAGCAATAATAACGTGACATTTCACCTACATGACACGGGAGAACCCGCCCTGCGGCGTACATTACGGACGTCGTCGCTTGTGACGTGTTTCCCGAATGCATTCTCGATGTATTGCTTTCTGTCGCACGTAGGGGTGTTGCATCGAAATAAATCTGCAGGTTGATTGCATTCCTCCTGCGTAAGTCCCCGGTTTAAAGAGTGCCTTTCGAAAAGAAAGCGGTTGAGTGGATGGTTGTCGGAGAACTGGAACGTTAGCACATTGGCTTACGACCATCCCGAGCAACATTGACACAAGCACTGCAATCGGTGCCTCGAGAACTGAATTAAACGGTCAACAACATTATAAACCACATACTAGACACGCCGTATTCTTTTGCTACTTGTTTGGCGGCGCTTACAGCGCACGCGTTTATAAACGACGCGATCATACCTCACGCTATTATACGTGCTTCTTTTGCTACTAAAGCGAACAAAATCGACGTTGTCGCGATGCATAAATGAGGTGAACAGCAAATAGAATTCATCAAAGCTATGAAACGAATGTCCAAGAAAGATGCTCCTGAAGTCAGCCGCCATGGTTGCAATTCGAAATAACAGCCAAAGACGACCTATTTCATTAGACCTCACTTAAAGTAGCAACTAAACTCATTTGCAGAGATATCAGCCGTTTTTGGAAAATACTTGACATAGTCGTATTTTATGTTGTAAAATTGATGCAACTTATTTTTTTGTTGCCCACATTTCTTGCAGTCCTATGGTTGCCACTACGTGGCACCATAATTTAGGGTCAATAATGATAACTTATTTTTAATAAACTTGCTTTAACTCATTGACATAAATGTCGTTGTATATTAAAGTATCACAAAAACTGACATTTATTTCAAACGTAGTTTCTTGCAGTAGTTGCAATGTTGTGCTTCAACACCTGATGCGGCTCAAATTTAAGTGAACCCGCCATTTTGCAAACAAAAGGTCGCTGAATTTTAGCACTAGAAACCAGTACAGGAAAGGACTAGCTCCAGGGACGAAATAACCTTTCCTATAACCAGCCTCCCGTTTTCCAGTGTCAGTAGGCGTGAAGCGCTTCCAGCACCGCGACTTGCCTATAGCTTCTGGAGCTTGTAGCGCCTTGACGAATGCTACACAAGAAATTCGTAGCCCGGTAAGACAGAAGACGGCGGGATATAAAGATTGTCTTGAGAAAATAGCTATGTACAATAGCTATGTGAATATAGCTTGAGGACAATGGGAGAAAATGGTGAAGCAATGAGTAACACCACGTAGGAGCGCAACAGCCGGCAACGCGCGGGCAAGATGGCGGACCTGGTTCAAAATCGCAGTCCAGTATATATAGGCTTTAGGCGGGTGCAAAGTAAAACAAAATGTGTACAAGTCTGAATGTGATGTTTGATGGAGTAAAATGTCATGGTCACTACACAGGCCTCCCCCTAGAAGGCCGAGGGACGAGGACTTCGATCGCTGTTGGCTTGCAAATGTATAAAGGCAGAATCACAGGAGTTCGGTTGTATTTGGATTATTTAATCTTCTTGTGGATTGGAATGCATCATCGGTGGGCCGTCCCAGCGGGCACACCGGACTACAAAAAACTGGATAATCCAGAAAAAGGGCCGGTAGGACCTTTCACCGCTGCTGAAGACGGTGCGCTTGGGAGAGGTCACTCCCCCCACCGCATTCCAATCCACTGCCACAACGAAGCTGAAATCCTGTTCGTACCGGCGAGCCGTGGGGGGGACCAAAAACAACGAGCCAGGCACACGAGCAGCCAAAGCCAGGAAGGCGAGCCAGACAAACGACCAAGGCGAGCCAAATTGAGCCAAGCAGACCACGATCCAAAGGCCAACGTGGGCGGGCGAGACGACAAAGCGTTGGGGGTAGACCAAAGCATCCAAACGACCAAACAATTGAGAAACAGCCAACCATTGAACGGACGGACCCAAACGTGCCAGCCTCATGACTTTACCTGATAGATGGGGGAAAAAACTCGGGGAGACAGATTCAGATATTTACGGAAAAGCATAATACAAACAACGAGAGAAAATGAAAAAGATTCATGAGGTGTGGATGAATTCGACAAAATCGGAGAAACGAACAGGTTTACGAACTCTTCTACCGTGACTGGTATTAGTTTGAGGCGAATCGGGTGACTGGGATTGTGGTGGAGCTGTAAAGCTGGGCGTCGTTACAGGTGGCTCTGTAGATTGCGTTAAGGTCGATGACGAGTCGAGGGCATAAACTAAAGGTTTGTGGTCAGTAAAGACGGTAAAGCTTCTGCCCTCTAGAAAAGGACGAAAATGACGGATGATACCAAGTTCGAGCATGTGCTCGAATTCCGCCTTAGCGGCTTTTAGCTTATCAGGGGCGAGACGTCGTGGCCGTGCAGAAACCGGTGGGCCACGGGTTCGTATATGGTGCGTAACGCTAGATGCGACCGGAAGAGTAGCGTCAGCTGAGCGGACGAGCTGCGGAAACTGTCTGAACAGATCTAAAAATTCCTTATCAGCTTCAGGCTGAATGTAAATGGGAGTGACAGAAACACAAGGTGTGCGAACTCCACATGTGAAAAGCTGGGTCTTTTGGTCAACGAGTTTGCGATGACGCGCATCGACGAGAAGATCGAAGTGTTGGAGGAAGTCGATACCCAATATAGCAAACGGAACAGCAGCGATGGTGAAAATCCATCGAAAGGGACGTCGTAGTCCGAGGTCAATGGTAAGGGAGCGTTGACCGAAAACTCGGATAGCGGTGCCGTTAGCGGCACGCAAGTTGGTTGTCTGTGGCTTAGTCGCGTCGCCTGGAACCGGTGGGATCACGCTAACTTCCGCCCCGGTATCAACCAGGAACATGATCCCAGTGTTCCTATCAACGATTTTGAAGAGGCGATTTGGACGACTTCGGCCGACGGCGTTCGTCGCCAATACGTGTCGGCCTGTCCTTTTTCTCGTTACGGGAAATGAGCATGGTTTTATACAATTTCTAGCGGAACTTCCAAAACGTGCGTGATAACGGCAAATTGGGAGTCGTGTTCGTCTTCGAGATGGGCTAGGGGAACGGGATGGAGAATCCCGTGGGTGCCGATGTAACTTTAAGTTTTGAACTTCTTGCCGTAGCGCGGCTATCTCTGCTAAGAGCTCACCAGTCGAAGGTGGAGTAGCGGTGTCGATGGTTTGGACCGAAGGGTCAACAGTAAAACCTACGTCAGGTGAGCGAAGAGAACTAGACGACGGACACGGTGGTCCGGTGAAGCGATCCATCATGTCATCAGCAATATCTGCAACTTCTGACAAAGGCTGCGATTTCGCAAGCGATAGCATAGCTTGTACGTTTTCAGGCAAACGCTGAAGCCATAACTCTCGAAGCAGCGACTCGTCCATATGCAATCCTTGAAGAAGACCACGCATCTCTAGCAATAGCGCGGATGGCTTACTAGAACCTAGCTGTAGACCAGTAAAAAGTTTATGCAGGCGGGACTTCAATGAGGGAGTAACACGCTTTATTACCGCGTTCTTGAGAGAATTATAGCGGTCAGGAGGACAAGATGTAATAATAAGATCACGTAGTGCTAAAGTAATATCAGTCGGCAGGCGTGTTAGCAAGTGATTAAACTTTGCAGAATCGCTAGTGACATGCTTAGAAGTAAACTCAGCTTCTAAAATCATGAACCATAAAACGGGATCTTTTTCAATAAATGGTGGAACTACAAGAGATACCGCTTGCACCGACTGTGAATCTTCACACTTTTTAGAAACTGACGTCATGGCTTGCGTGGAAAAAACCAAAAAAATGGAACGAACTCACCGGAATGCGATTGGGGTCACCAATTATGTAGCGCCTTGACGAATGCTACACAAGAAATTCGTAGCCCGGTAAGACAGAAGACGGCGGGATATAAAGATTGTCTTGAGAAAATAGCTATGTACAATAGCTATGTGAATATAGCTTGAGGACAATGGGAGAAAATGGTGAAGCAATGAGTAACACCACGTAGGAGCGCAACAGCCGGCAACGCGCGGGCAAGATGGCGGACCTGGTTCAAAATCGCAGTCCAGTATATATAGGCTTTGGACGGGTGCAAAGTAAAACAAAATGTGTACAAGTCTGAATGTGATGTTTGATGGAGTAAAATGTCATGGTCACTACAAGCTTACATAAAAATGGAAAAGAAGTAATAAGTAAGAGCAAAAAATCACTGCAATTTTATTTATGTACACGGGCAAATTTTAGGTGGTTAGAGGCTGAACTGAGTATTCGCAAGAATTCGGGGAACGGTGCATTGCGTATTTCGTCCATGTCCCGTTTGAAGTCCTCTGATGTTATACATTCCAATAATGCAGAGGTGTCAGTTCCAAATAGGCACTGCATGATTTAAGAAGAATTTAGCTCCTACATAGAGCCTTGAGCTATGTGGTTTCAACCTTTATTCTACGGCCCAGAAAGTGGTCCGAGGTAGCTGGTTCAAAGAGATCAGTTAACCTTAAGCCGCTGGGAGAGTATAAGATCTTAAATGTCACTGTTAAATCCCTCTGAATATGCGCATCTATGTTTGGTTGTATTTGCGGTTAGCCTGTATTTGTCTAGTCAAGTACGCCGCCTTACTAGGTATCTAAGAAACTTGTTTTATTTATGTTTGCATTTCAATAAAACATTTTTAACTTTCCTTGTTCCTACTAAGACGGCAGCTTTTATAGCTTTCCATGTGCCCACCATAAAATGAGACCACTTAGCGTGGCGAAGTAGCCCAAAATGCTTGCAGTGCAATTCAGGAGAAATGGAACATGCTTCCAAAGAAAACGTACACAAATACGGCTCTGCGTGTCTTTCGCCAACAATAATATCAATATCAAAGGTCGTGTGAAAGCGTCAGAGGAACTTCACAGTGTTCGCCTACAACTTCCCTAACTCCTTTAACTGTACACGTAACAAAGCCTGTGCATTTGTGTTTGTGAACAAGGAAAAGATATTCTCACTCTCCTCAATCACATGCAAGGGCATGGGCTAAAGTAAAAATTTATCTCATTGCTTGCGGTCACAGTATATAGCAAGGCTAAAAATATGCCTTCATTATTAGTATTCTTCTTCATCTTATTAGGTTTGTGGTAAGCACAATTATTCGAGTAAATTTGAGTGCAATAGGCGGTTTTCCGTACACCTTGTCAGTTAAAAGGCATTTTACCCATGGGGTTTTCTAAAAATGCCTTTATATCCATATAAATTTAGACTAAAGGAACACTGCCATATGTTGCAGCGATTGTTAACAAACGAACTCATCACACCCTATTCGGCAATCAGCTGCTGATTTCTGTAGTCGGATGGACTCACTAGCTTTGGCATGGTTTATAAAGCTTGGCAGGTACGCCAGGTATGAAACGCAAGTAGAATTACCCCATCGTTTGAGACGGATTGTCTATCACACAACATGTAGGCAAGTTAGTTGAACGAAGACCTTTGGGCCGATGCCTGTTATCAAGGGAAGGCCCTAGACGTATTGCTCATAGACTTCTCCAAATTTGATGACACTGTTCTGCGTTCTTCCTTTTTGCACAGGCTACAGACATTTGGTATCGCTGGACTAAGGTTGACATGCAGTTGCGCTTTTTTAAACTTAAAGGTGATGTAGATTCCTATGGGCTGCAGCCTGTCTTCAAGTCAGCGTGTCCACGGCGGTATCCCGCAATGTTTGGGCCTTGCTTCCCTGCAATTTACCTTGTTCGTTAAGGTGTTACTGGACGTGCTGGAGTGCCATCCATACTTTTCGTTAACCACTTATAGTTCTGGTTCAAAATAAATACACCAAATTTTCTACTGACCTTACAAAAGGCGCTACCTAACTAGGAAACTGGCCCTTTGTGTTGCAGCTGCCCATAAATCTTGCTAAATGTTCAGTTTTGCAAGTTGAATCAAAGCACCCACCGACGCAGTTTCTAGTTGTGTTAATGAAGCGTCCCAGACGTCACTCCAAGCTGATCTGGTCGTCTTGTTGTTGTCTGCATTTAGGTCCAGTGAACATTGCTTGGCAGCTGCTCGCAAAGGTTTCGGCAGGTTGTATATGAATCCGCAGATCCTTTGGGATAACGACAAACGAAATGTTCCCAAGCATATTTGCGGCCTTTGTTAGGTTACACTTTGGACACTGCGTACAAGCTTGTTTCCCCTTCCTAGTCTGGGACCATATGGCGGTTTGATGATTCTTACGGCCGAGGGCAAAATGGTGTTTCAATAAAAGGAACTGTCGTATCCTGATAGGTCATCCTAGTTGGACCTGTCTTCGCAGTACCAAAATGGAATTGTTGGTGACATGGTCCTTACGTATCGAAGAATAACAGCTTAGGTCAAACCTGATATATAAATACATGAATAAATGGTTATTTTTGACTAAGCGGAGCACGCGTGCGCATGCACGTACAGTTTAGGAGCACAAAATGTAAGCAGTCAATGTATTGGAACAATATGTTGGTCACATATGCTGCAAATGCGTGGGTGTATGTGAGGATATATGCGTTTGTGGCCGTGTTTTTGTGATGTGTAAATGTGCTCCTGCACTTTTATTGCGTTTGAACGTGTCGTTGGTGGTACATGGTGACTTGTTGTCTGAGAAGTTGAAGCGTTTGTTCGGACAAGCATGGGTTACCTAGTTTGTTTCGCGTCACTAAAGACATCTCAAAGTGACATTTTATGGTGGAAAACGCTTGCCAGTTGAAAACCCGCCGCGCTCAGGGACAGTGCGCAGAACTATTTGTTGGAACAAGGTAAATCAGGCTGACCCATCTGGCACCGAGAGAACTTTATTCGGCTAGCCATCTCAACCGGATGCCAACTATCCGTGGCCATCCACTGAAGCTTTACAACCCAGTTGGACCGGGGTGTAACTGATTCTCGGTTAGCACGCCGGGTTATGGACTCATGGAAGGCGCTGCCCGCGGAAATAATGAAAGCGTCAACGATGAAGAAGTTCAAAAATAGACATTACGCACTTGCCTAGATTATAAAATCCTTCCCTTTCCCACGTCAGCATTGATAGTGGCTGCTGGTGCTTACCAACATTTAAGTTGCCATTTGCTTTCAATAATTTTTTCATTCATTGCTCCGGCTTGCTTCGTTTTGTTTTTCTACATTTATTTTGCTTCACATTGTCGGAACGGTGGAGAGTTTTTGTGCTGGGCACGTGGGCATTTTTGGGTTTACCATAGTGGGTACCGTGTGTTTGGATTTGGCTCCTCCTTGCAGGTTTCCCCGCATGATGCGCTCCGGGATAGTCAACGTTTTACAAGGCCGTACCTCCACGGGCATCTCCTATTGTTCCCCTCCATCTGCACGTGAGCCTGAACTCAAATATAACCGTTCTCTTCAGGTTCTTGTCCTTCTTCAGTACTTGTATAAGTTTTGATATCTGTATGGCACAGAAAAGTGTCCCCAGAGTTACGATTCATATTCAAGGCCACACTGAATATGGCTTTGAAAGATCATTACAGCACATGCCTTCCAACGGTTGCTGACCTGGCAATCTAGAAAGTGTCTGCCATTTCATTTATAGAAATATATTAGACTCCACTGCGCTGTGGATATCTATACTCACAAGTAGTAAACTATTCGGTGTGCTTGACTAATTACATAACGAATTGTTATATCTATAGCCCACTTCACTTTACAGATGTGCTACTACAACATAGCCCAAAATTTCCGTGTTGGTTTAGTCTGTATTTAACTGGAATATAAGAAAGTTATGTTATTAAACTTTTGGTGTGCCAACAAATACACATGACATTAACGTCGGGACGAAAACTACTTGTGACTTTTTGCTTCTAATCAGAGAGCAATGTATTATCGTTATAATAAACGATTTCCAAAGTTTAGTATGTATTGGCTAAAGTTTGTTTCCGGCCGTTATTTCTTGTTGCTGGCGGTAGAAGCGCCGCACCTATGCTTATTAAGTGAATTACAGCCATATGCAGCGCATCATTTTTGCTGACTGTCGCCCATGCATCGAATATATCTGCGTATACAATTGTTTTCATCGTAAAAACGCATTTGCTTTTGTGCACAACGCAAGTCAGATCAGGTCTTCAGGGACAAAGCAGGCCTTTGCCTGACGCGCGTTCCGGTTCTTGTGCCGGTAAGCCAGCCACGACACTGGGCACTTCGATGTTCAAACTTCACCACTACAAAGACAAAAGAAGAATGGAGACGGCCTCATAGTTTAATAAAGCTATTCCTGCCCTCCTGTTGGTATTACTTGGAATTGCTTGATCACACTGGAAACTTGTCAACTGAGTAAACTCATTCATATCCAAGCCTGTTTTAGAGTTGTCCATAGTGTTCTCTTCTACAAGTGTACGGCGAACTTAAACTCAACTACGTACAACGCGGTTAGTGGAAACGTTTGCCCGTATATTCAGCCTGGACCTATGCGATTGAGCTTCAGGTGGTATCCACGCAGACTATCCGACGTTGCAAGTTCAAAGAGATCGGTGGGCTTAATGTCACTAATACCCTTCATACACTTTAACGTTTCCATCAGGTCTCTCACTTGTCTGCGTTATTCTACTGAAACCAATCCAAAACCATCCAGGCTGACAATCTACGAATTCACACGCTGTCCAAAGCGTGTCATCCTAGTTAGATGCATACCAAACCATTAAAACAAGCAATCATGTAAACTGGCAAAATAAACGCTTATTGCAGGGATTAGGACACTTAGTTTTTATCTAAAAGAAATTACTTTTTCAACTATGGACCGTGTTTTATTCTTTGCGCTGCGTACTGGTGGTACGTTTCCCGCAACTCCTATGCCGGCCATTCGTGCCAAAGCACTTCTTCCGAGTTACGTTTGCTTCTTACCTGCGAGCTTGACGGAGCGGGGAGACAACCTAAAGGTATGCGCGATTTCAAACTAGGGGTGCTGCCTTGAGGTACAACTGATCTAGGGATCCAGGAAAATATGGTGAACTAATGCAAGATAAAGGTGTTGTGTTAACTTATCAGGCCTTTTTCGGTTTGATAGATAGGCAAGTTGCTGTAAGCATTGGCGAAGCAAAATTGAACGAATGATATATGGATGACATTTTGGTCTGCGCATGTGGTGAACTATTTACCCGGCTGCTGGCTATCCTGAATTCTATTCACCCTGACCTGTTGGTACTCCGT